AAACAACCTAAGACAGGCACGGTCCTTCTGTCCTAGATATAGCATAATCTGGGGTTTTAAAAATAAAAAAAGAAGGGGGAGATGTTGGGACCTGTTAGTCTATTATGTACATTGAGCTGTGGCAGGCTTTTTTACTGAGCTTGTGTTCTGCACACCAGTACCTAATCTGCCAAATCAGGAGGAATGTGTTTATATGGTGGAGCTCACAACAAGTATTTGACCGCTCCTTGACCCTCAGATACAGGTGGGAAAACAGCTGTGGAAACTAATTGAGTTCTTCTGTATAAAAAGGTGGAGCTGAAATAAACCAGGGCTGCAGTATCTACTGTCAGTCCTCCCAAGTATCTTTTCTGTCTCTTGTTCTTTCTTTCAATCCTCACTCCCCCTTTCAGGTACTGTCCGTCTTGGCCGGCTTGCACCGGCATTTTTCTTGTCTATTTTTAGTAGACAAGCTGAGCTGGTACCCACAAGAAGGAAGAAGGAGAGGAAGTGAAGGGCAGGGAGGAACAATTGCCAACCAGTTAGCAGGCAGAGTGTGGAAGGGACAAGGCGGCCAGCTGCCTCCCAGCTGAGGAAGAGGTGATTGAATAGTTTGGAGCAAACAGGACAGGAAGAGGAAGAGGAAGAGGGAGAAGAAGGCTGTGGGGCCTCAGAGGAGGTAAGAGCAGCCGTGGTGGCCAGAAGCCTTCTAGGCTGGGTATGAGACCAGGTCAGAGCTGGAACACGGGCTGTGGTCAAGGCAGACGAACCCTGACCTCTACAGGCAGGGTCTGTACTTGCAGGGCTGATGGTCCTGATGACAGAGTCCTGCGGAACTGTAACACTAGGGGCCGCCCGGCACCGCCCAGATTCCTGCCTCTCCTCACTGCTGCTGAACACCCAGGGCATAGAAAGTAACAAGGGGGGCTTGAGAGATGCCCAGGGGTTAAGAGCACTGGTTTTTCTTCCAGAGGACCTGGGTTCGATTCCTAGCACCCACCTGGCAGCTGACAACCATCTGTAACTCCAGTTCCAGGGTATCTGACACCCTCTTCTGACCTCCGTGGGCATTGCACGACACGGGTGCACTCATTTACATGCAAGCAATACAGTCATATACATAAAAATAACAAACTATTTTTTAAAAAGAGAGACCATCACATAAGGAATTTTTCCTTGACCACCCATAATTTCTACCTCAGTAGAGCAAAAAGATCACCCCCAAATAGGTGTGGATAATGACAGGACTGTAACTTCTGGTCCCCAAAGCATTCAACTAAAGGCAGTGACAGCGAGTGCGTGGACCCACAGACTCGCCCCTTCCTGCTTCCCATGGGGCCTGTCAGTCTTTCCTGCCCTCTTCTGCCCATTACTCAGGAGCAATGTGACCCTTTTAAAAAACCTCTATCAAGGTTGGCTTCAGTTATTGACTTGGCACACTTGGGAAGAGGGACCCTCAACTGAGGGATTTCCTCCATCCGATAGGCCTGTGGGGCATTTTCTTGGTTGCTAATTAATGTAAGAGAGTCCATCCCACTGTGGACTGTGCCATCCCTGGGCAGGTGGGCCTGGGCTGTTTAGGCAGCTGAGGGACTGGGACATGGCTCAGTGGTTAGGAGTGCTGGCTGCTCTTGCAGAGGACCCAGGTTTGGTTCCCAGCACCCAGAGGACAGCTAACAACCATCTATAACTCCAGATCCAAGGGATCTGTTGCCCTCTTCTGGCCTCCATGGGCATTGCATTCACAGGTGCACTGACATGCATTCGGGCAAAACACTCATTCATACACATAAAATAAAGATAAAAAATTTAAATCATTAAAAAAGAAAGCTAGCTGTGCAAGCCAGGGCAAGCAAACAGTAACCAGCATTCCTCCAGGGGCTCTGTTTCACTTCCTGCCTCCGGATCCTGACCTGCGTTCTGGCCCCCTCAATGAAGGATGTAAGCTGAAACAAACCCTTTCTTTCCTAAGTTGGCTTTGATCAGTGTTTTATCACAGTAAGAAAAACCAAGCCAGAAAAACTGCAGAAGAGGCTGGATGGGAGGGGGCAGGAAGGTGGCTGTCGGACTTTGACTCAGACCCAGAGAGCCCTTGTGGACCTGTCTGGGGGCATCTCTTTGGAGCCTACCCCCCCCAGAATCAGGTACTTGGCTCAACATCTCTGGTCTATGCTGCCCGTGTAACTTCTCTATGCTGGTGGACTCTGTCTAGTACAGACTGGATGCCACTAACAATGGGAACAGGGTTGGATGGGGAGTGTAGATGTTTGGGCAGAGGTCAGGGCTAAAGGCATGATTCGCAGTAAATGACAATAGTAATCATCATAATAAAACATCCTAAAGAGACACTGTAACCATGGATCACCTGGTGTGATTTCGTGGCAACATGGGAGGCTGTGCACATGGGAAACTTAAGCTGCTCTGAACACTGAAGAGTGTTTAAAAATGTCCCCAAGATATTCAGTGACTGGAGGGAAGAGATGGCCGCACAGATGGATGGGAAGGAGCTGCTGGCCCCTCATGAATGTCTCCACCAAGTGTCAGAGAGCCTGGGAGGAGCCCCACCGGATGCTCAGGATGAACCCCCCACATCTGAGTCTGAAAACCCAGGTCTGAGGGGAGCTGGCACGGACAAGACCCCAGCAACAGCTCCATGAGTGAGGTGCCCTGCTGGGTCAGGTCCTGGGAAACGCTGAGTGAGGGAGCTCTGCAGGAGATGGATGGGGTGGGGGGGCTCCCTCTTCACTTGGCGTGAGATGAGGCAAGGCAGCACTCTGACACTAGCCCAGCAATCAGACTCACAGAGGGACAGGTCCTGTGTCCTCCTGTGTCCCCTTCCCAGCCAGGTCACCAGCACTCAGCCGGGTCTCCAGCCCCACCTCCCTGTCCCCTTCACACCCTCAGGGTCACAGTGTCCTGTCTGTACTCACTGGTGACATTGAGCTGGACTGCCATTTCCACAGTCACACCTGCTCCAGGAAAGGTCACCTGACAGGTGAGGTTGGTGCCATGGTCCTGGGGCCGCGCTGTGAGGGTCAGCACGGAGGAGAGTGTGGTCCTGGGGCCCAGGGAGGTGAGGGCGGCTGACATCCAGGAGAAGATCGGGGGTGTTCCCCGCTCACAGGCCCACGGCACAGAGCAGGTCAGGTTGATGGGATGACCGGGCTCCAGGGTAGATGGGATATTGATGTGGGGGGTGTGGGTGAGGGCTGGTGAGGAGAGAGGGGCATGCGGGATCAGGAGGGGGAGAAGTGCATCTGATCAAGCTCCTCCTCTAAGCCCTAATGGGTCAGCCCCAGCTGCTCCCAGGATTGGATCCCATTCCAGCCCTGTCGTGGGGCACCCTTGACCTCCCCCGGATCAACTCTGGAGCCTGTGACTTACCCGTCACATGTACAGAGAGCTGGTTCTTACAGTAATCATAGTTTGCATTTTTTTTCTGTGCCCGAAAGAAGTAGGAGCCGTTGTCTCCCCTCTGTGCATCTCTGATGTCCAGGGAGCAGTTATTCCTCAGGTCTGCAAGGAGGCGGAAGCGGCCCTGGGTCTCCTTCCGCCCCGCAGAAGGGTTGTTTGTGGCCACTGGAGAGTCATCATCTGTTTGGGGCCCTGCATGGAACCAGTAGCCGTAAACAGGCTGAGTAGGAGATGCTGAAGAAGGAGGCGTGAACGTGCAGGGCACGAGGACGCACAGACCCTCCTGCACCGTCACGGACGGAGGCATTTTCAGCTCCAGATGATTGGTTTTTTTGCACTCTGTGGCTCCAAGGGTCCAGTCACCCGCCCACACCAGGGACAGCAGCAGGGACAGCAGCATCCAGAAGGGTTCCTGGGCTCCCGTGAGTGAGCAGAGACGAGGTCCTGTGCAGGGGAGTGTTGCAGAACTCACTGAGGCTGGGAAGGAGCCAGAGACCTCAGTTCTAGAAGAGGAAGCACAGACCACAGGTGATTGGAGTTCCTCCCCTCTGCACAGAGCTCACAATTGTGCCAGAGACTAGAGATGCACGAGACCCACCCAAAGCGGGACGGGGGGTTCCCCCATCTTCCGCACTGGGCTGGATACAGGGAACACCTGAGGTCAATCCACACTGAAGGACCGGTTTTCCTTTCCTGCAGTGCTGTGGGGAAGCATTCAACCACTGAGCTTCACCACCGACCCTTGGCTGTTTTATACTTGGTTTGCCTCCATAGACCAAGCTGGCCTTGAACTCAGCATCCCCCTGGCCTCACCTCCCAATGCTGGGATTACAGGCACTGGCCATCACCTTCGACCCCTGCTCTTATTGATCCAATTTGTTCTTTGAAAATTTTGTCTGTGAATATAATGTTTTTTATTTGTCTCACCACAGCCCCTTTTCTTCCTCCCACACCTGCTGTTTACCAGCTACCCACAAGTCTTTACCCATACTCGTGTCTTTTTGCTTTTTTGTGACCCACTGATTTTATCCAGGACGTCCTGTGTGACCACAAGTTTGGAACTATCCATTGACAGCTAAAGAGGGTGACTACTGTCCTCCCTGCTGCTCCACAATCCACCAATAACCAATAGTTCACTATGAGCCCTTCCTTGACCCATGATGGGCTGGTGACAGAACCCTTCTTGTGCAGGCCCAGTGTGGGCGACCATAGCAGCTGAGATCATGTCTGCGATGACCGTGCTGTGCCCTGAACATAGCATTTCGTTGCCCACACTCAACTGATGGGTTTCTGTACCTTTGTTTACATGAGGTGCTGGGACACTGGTGTCTGGCCCTCCAGTGTCACAGCCCCCTCTAGACTCAGCAGGTCTTAGTGGGTTGAATGTTGGGGAAGAGGGGACACTCCTTAAGGAACAAATGGAAGTCAAAATCTATTCACTCACTCATTCCTCAAGCACGGAGTGATCTCTGATTTTGGAGGGGCTGGGCACGAGAAGGGCAAACCTTGTCCTGATCCCCACCTGTGGGTGCAGGAAAGTTCACTCAGAGCCTGGTTTCAGCCTTGGGGGTGGATGGTCAGAGGTGGAGTTTCTGGCTCTGTTGGTCACTGTGTTTGTGACATTTGAGGTGCCACCATCCAGCTCTCTGCACAGCTGCACCATTTCCTGTTCTCCTGCCTGGTTCCAGTTCCTCTGCCCATCCTTGGTGCTGGCCACTTCCCGTTTTCAAGTTAGCCTAGTAGTGGGTGTGAAGTGGTCTCCCCTGTGGCTTTCAGGTCTCATTAACAGATGTTCGTTTCACAGAATTACACACAATCCCTCTGACATCTTCGTGTGTGATCTGATGGTATTCAGGCTATTCAGTCAGGCCTCTATTCAGACAGGCCAGGGGTCCCCGAACCTGCTCCTAAACATCCTTACCCTTTCCCTGCCCACCCCCACATCTCCAATCATCTCACTTCTACTTTCCTATCCTTTTGGGTTTTTTTTTCTAGATTCTGCACATAAAAGGAAATATTCTGTGTTTGCATTTCTGTCTGGCTTGTCCCGTTCCTCCGCTGTCCTAGAAACCACTTGACTATCATGATTTGATCATGACTCACTGCATCTATTTACAGTACACCTAATGTGTTCCATTGTGACTTGGAATTGAATTTTTTAATTTGCAAAACACGCATCTAAGGATCCTAAGGCACCATCCCCGGCAAAAGCAGCATGTGATGTCCTCTGCAGTCTGGGTTACCTCTCTGAGGACCACTGGTTCTAGCCACATCCTTTTACTTCTGAAATGGACCCCATGCCTGGCACTGTGACAGGGGCCCAGAGGTCAACACAAACACATCATTTTGTAAATGAACATACACCACATCCTCCTACCCCCTGCTGGGGAACTATTGACAACAGCTGCTGGTAGAGGGGTAGTGAGTGTCCTTTGATCATGTGACCATTGTTTGGTTGACCATGCTCCAGGGGATGGACCCACACCAGCTAGGATTTGGGCAACACAAATTGGGTTCCATGAGCTTTACAAAAATTAGAGGACAGAAAGCTGGATGGGCACAGAGGTATGGTGGGTCTGGCAGGAGATGGGGAGGGGGGTGAATATAATTGCAAAATATTGTATGAAATTCTCAAAGAATTAGTGGGGCGTGGTGGCACACACCTTTAATCCCAGCACTTGGGAGTCAGAGGCAGGCAGATCTCTGTGAGTTTGAGGCCAGCCTGGTCTATATAGTTCCAGGCCAGCTGGGGCTACAGGGAGACCTTGTCTCAAAAAGACCGTATAAAAAAAAGAATTAATAAAGTATTATTTAAAATTTTATTATTATTGTATGTGTGTATGTTACATCTGTTGGGGGGGCATGGAGGTCAGAGGACACCCTGTGGGAGTCAGCACTCTTCTATTGTGGGTTCTGAGCACCAAACTCAGGTCACCAGCTTTCAGGGTATTGCAGAATTTTTGCCTGGTGTGTGTAACAGTTAACAAGTCCAGCTGTGATGATATTTTGCAAGCAGGCACATGAAACTCGGGAAGATGTTGGCTGTTTGATTCAGAGAATAGTCCTGTGGAGCTCTCCCCCCTCCTCCAGTTCTTGCATTCTTTCTGACCCCCTCTCTTCTGCGAGGGTCTCTGAGCCTTGGAGGGTGTGGCAGAGATGTCTATTTGCCTCCAACTCCAGCGAGGTGTCAAACCCTTGAGTCCTCTCATCAACCCCTTCATCTCTGGGATATGGCTGTTGGCGAGGCTTGGTGGTGGTGTCACCACTACTCAAGTGAGGAAAATGGAGAAAAACAGGAAATGGGAAAAATACACACACAGATACTGGCGGTGGTTATGACCTACAGCCGTAAACATAAATGTTGGGAAATGCTTTATTCAATACGTCATGTCCAATGAGTCAAGTCAATAGCAGCTGTTTCTCCACTGGGACCTATGACCTGCCTGGCCAGAGGTTTTGACTAAGTTCCTGGCACCGGATATGAATTTCCCTCTGTGGAGTGGGCCTTAAGTCCAATCATAAAGTTGGTTCTATCCATAACTTTAGAAGAAAATTATATCTTCCCAATGTTACTCTTTATAGATTAGATCATTTATTACTAATGACTGGTTCTGTTTTTTCAGTGTGTAACTGCCTTATAAGGTCTGCTTTGTTCTGTAATGCCCTTCTTGGTAAATGTTTAGCTGTGCTGGTCAAGAAAGTGAAACTAAGGAGGAGAACTTACCGAGTATCTGGGAGAACATCTGTCCGCAACTATCCTGCTGAGGTGCCAGCATTAAATTTTGTTGTTAAGAATGCCTTAAACCTTGCTGGCAAAACTTGCCTTTTTAAACACGCTAACCATCTGACCACAGAAGGAATTTCCTGTAATAGCCTAAAGATCATGTTAGCCATCTGTGCTCAAAGTCATGTAGACCTCGGGTCAAACCCACCAATGTGGTAACTGCTAAAAGGTGACATGGAAAAATCCTATAAAAATATGTGCATCTTTGCAGTTGGGGGCCAGAATTTCAGAGCCTGAGCATGTTCTCCAACTCCCCTGGTGAGTGCTTGGCTTCTCTGCCGCCTAGCTTCCTATCCCATAACCACTCACGCCACTGTCGCACCTCCACCATGAAGGATCAGAGGCTGAGGATGACTTCTGGCCTTAATTCTCCCCAGCAACCTTGGTAGTGCTACAAAAGGCAGATCACAGGGAGGGGGCACTTCCAGCTTGGTCCTGACCTTATTTCTCTAAGTCCCACAACCAAATCACACATCATTTGGCAATAGGGTCTTACTATGCAGTTCTGGACTGAAACCATCAGCAATGGTAATAGCTTTACATATTTTAGGGGCCTCTTGGCCTGACAACTCCTAGGGACATACCCCACCCCAGCACTGGGATTCTCAACAAACTCATGGCTTCTGGGAGCATCATCTTTCACCTTTTGTTTACTCAACATCCACAAGCTGTTTAAAATGTTTATGATTGGGGCTGGAGAGATGGCTCAGTGGTTAAGAGCACTGGCTGCTCTTGTAGAGGACCTGGGTTCGATTGCCAGCACGCACATGGTGGCTAACAATTGTCTGTAACTCCAGCTCCAGGAGACTCTGATGCTCTCTTCTGACCTCCCCGTGCATTACACGACACAGGTACACTTACATACAGGCTGGCAATACACTCACTCATACACACAAAATAAAACTAATAAATAGAAATTTTTAAAATGTTTATAATGACCTTGGTGAACGTCATTGTGCTTCACCCAACTGTAAAACCCCAGGAATTCCACAGCAAAGCCTGGCCCTTGACCCTTTGTGAATTGTTTTCTCAGGATCATTCCTTCAGGTGCACCTGCCTGTCTCCAAAATGAATCTCTAAATCTTCAAAACAAAGGTTAGCATTATGCTATCTGTGCCCAACACAATCTTTATACAGAGAATGGGCAGGATGATGATGAAGTATCGTGATCCACCATCCCATAACTAATAGTTGGGGCTGCCAAGATCAAGGCCCACTTGGTGAGGCAGTTTGAAAGTCAGTTGTCATCTGTCATCAGCTAGGGGCAGGTATTTGCAGACATTCACAACTAAGAAGATACCAAAGTAAACTCTTACTAAGGTCTACTCCATCTGTTCCTATTAGTCACCTGGCTACTTCACCCTAGAGCACTCTCATGGGGTCTCTGTGCATTTCCCCACTCTACTAAACTGGGTGGGGCTGGTTGAAGCTGTAAAGTCAAGGTGGAATGAGGGAAGGGCTTGGCTCCCAGACTCGGCCCCCACAGACAGTCCAGCCTGCACCCACCCACCAGTTTGGCTGTGCGTGGTGGGAGATGGGGGCACTTCAGAGATTCGATCTAACCCATCCAGGGTGGCATGGCTGTAGATAGGAACTTCAGAGATAGCTAATAGCCATCTGCTCGTTGGCGACCTCGTGCATGGGTGAGGAATAAATGAGCTTTCGACTCTCTCCTGGGTGTGTGCCTGGTCTTCGTG